GGAAAGCAGGGCGTCATATAAGAGGGATCGCAACATATAGCATCGATTCGGACTAGAACCCATCGAACCCCGAACCAATCATAACACACAAGCACACAGCTGGGAAGCGACCGGGCTCTCGGCACCCGTTCGCTCCTCTCATAAGAGACTTGGGACCCGTCCCTCTCTCGACCGTTTGTAACCCCTACTATGAACTTTCAGTACTAGTAACACGAAAGAAGAAGAGCGAATCGGACGTAGGGACATTCTGCCGAACCAATTATAAACCTCATGTCCTCTTAGCACACCATCCAAGCGAGACGTAGCAATATTAGAAATTTACTAGTGGTGGCAAATCGAAACACCGACATACACCTTTTAAAAACAAAACAGATGATTTTATTCTTAGATGTTGAAACTAAATAGTTCCATAGATGACATCATTTCTTCTAAATAGGCTTCTTCTTTGAATCCTTAACCACAGTAACTTGCTGAGAAATTATGCACAAAATGTTGTTCCATGGGCTCCATAGCCATAATACATTGACAATAATTAAACTTGACGATTGCCCCAAAATTTGATATATCCTTTGGGTGCTTCAAGAGCCAAATTCTATAGGATGAGATAGGAATAGGAACTACCCTACTAATCTTCTCATTTTATTTTTTTATAATAAGCCATGCAAACATAATCTTTGCTGTTTAGTTAGGAATGCATATCCTCATAGATGTTGATCACCATACCTAGACTCCCCCAGGTGCAACCTTAAAGGCATTACGCCAAAATATAACAAAGTATTATTATTTTTGTCCATGCATATCGGAATTATTAGACATTTTTGTCCAACATGCTTGTAATGACCTCTCACATTGCATAAGTCAAGAAGCAAGATCATAGTTTTTTTTGGCAAGATGTCCTTGCTGATGTGGCGATGTGTGGCTTTATCTTTACCTTCTTCTTAATTTTACGCGTCACTAAGGACTATGTAATTAACTTGAATATAAGTGTTTAAGGCAGCACCCTGATTGGTATGGAGCTAGGTTCAAGATTCTTGATGATTTATCGATCAGGAACTATTGGGAACGGTTTATGTCAATTAATTGCTCTTATCATAGTGCCCGGAGCATTTCTCGAATAGCGTTATCGATCAGATTTTGGAAAAGGCGCATAAATAGTTATCTCAATGTCAAGTTTGTTTAGTTCAATAGTTGTCTGATTAGGTCACTTAGTTTCCTAGCACATCCAGTCATTTTAGCGTGCGGCTTTTGCGTATACACTTTTCTTGCGTCATCTGCATGCAAATGGCTTGTAGGAGTTGATCAGATAAGTATGTGGCAGATCCATTGGCTAGCCAGTGAATAAAAGAACTATAGATCAAGTAAAACATGTTCCGGCCACATGCTATTAGTTTTCGCCTAAAACATGTGGTGTGGACAGGATAGCGACACACTGCACCGTGTTTCTGCACTAGTAATAAAGAACATGTACCCTTGTTCAGTTCTTCTAATGAGATTTGACTAGAATCAATGGTCACGCGGCTTAGTATAAATTAGAATAGTTGAAGCAACTTGTTAGTACTTAGTAGTGGTAGACAGGATCTCTAGAGAGCGTACTATATTCATTTGAGCCACGAACAAGTGGGTTACTAGTTAATTCAGATACAGACATATATATAATAAAGTTTATATTTTACCATTAGACGAAGACAATGACTACAAGATCAGCCTCGGTGGAGATTTCATTTAGGTTTTTATTTGTATTTAATACTGTGACATATCGATGATTTGATAACTTAGCAGAGTTAATTATGAAGAGAGAGGTAGATAGATTCATCTAGATATACCAAAAGATTTGAGGATGGGGAGTGCATTTTAAGATTGTCACATGCCTACTAGATTAATTCCATGCCATTCTATATGGTATTTATTTGTACGATTGCATGAATGGTACATGCCTCCAGCCTCCGTATCGGAAGAGATTGTCCAGATGTCATTCTCAATGGAGCCATGGTGGCTTGCTTGGAGCTGTCAGTGGTGCCAAATAGGCAAAGGGAGGCAGTTTCGTCCTTTTGTCTCAACTGCGTGTGTATTGCGTGGCTGAGTGCAAACGAATGCCGCTTTTGCTGTTTGTGTGCATACGAGCTGAAACGAATTTTGCGTGGTTTTGCACGTTTCGCTTGCTTATCATTTATTTTACACCAAGAATGCAAGACCTATAAGAAAATTCTATCGACAGATTTTCAAACATGACGCATACATTTTGCGGGAAAGCGCAACATTTTAACCTTGACTAGCTTTGTTTTGTTTTCTGACAAGATTTGAGTTACCCTTTTGCATTTGAATATGACTTACTAATTACTACTCCCTCGTTCAAAGTTATAAGTCATTTTGGTATTTCTAGATATAGGTCATGTCTAGATATGTAATAAAAATATGTACCAAGAAATGTCAAAAAGCGACATGTAACTTGAAGCGGAGGGAGTAGTTATCAAAAGTTCGAAAGGTTATTATGAATTTTACACACACACACATATATATATATATATATATATATATATATATATATATATATATATATATATATAAGGTGTGTTTTGTTTTCTACTGCAAGTTGCTGACCACGCCACAACTCTTGTGTCTAACTTGTGGCATACTGTTTGGTTAGCTACCACACTTACGACACGGCATGACGCGATTGCGGCAACATATTCCAATTTCAGTGCCACAACTCTTGCGTCTAACTTGTGGTGGTTGTTTGGTTAGCTGCCACACTTATGACACGGCATGACGCGATTATGGCAACATATTCAATTTCACGCCACACTGTTGCCAAAAGCTTTTACGGCAAATCGCATGCGCCGTAGTTTTGGTGCCACCCATGCAAGCGTACACATAAAGCCAAACAGACCCATAGTGCACCACTTGTGCTTTATGAAATTAGGAGTAGCATTGGCTCCGTTATTGACCATGAAAAAACAATCAAACACTGCTCCTAAATGATTTGTTGTGAGAGAAAAATCTTGTTCTGCTAAAAATCAAGTGAAAACTATGGATTATAAGAGAAGCGAACATGACCATTGTTGTAATTCTAATACCATATAGGAGTACTTTTCCAGTAGTGTCATAAAGAGGGATAAATTAGCTGCAAAATCTAAACTCCACTGCCATAATATAGGCAGGGGTGTCATTAACAAATCGTTTGATTTGAAATGGTACCGTTTGGTTCCTAGAAGATTTTTAGAATGCAGATAAACATGTGTGTTAAAATTCACTAGAATCTAGGCTATTTGGATGAGATGCTAGGATTTTGAGATTTTTTTAGTTAGATTCTAAAAATCTCCTAGGAACCAAAGGGTACCTTACTCTCTTACAACATGTTTAGTTGGGTGAAAGTTAGAAATTTAGCTACCGTAGCATTTTCGTTTTTATTTAACAAATAGTGTTCAATCATGGACTAATTAGGCTCAAAACGTTCGTCTCGTAATTTCCAACCAAACTGTGCAATTAGTTTTTTTTCGTCTACATTTAATACTCCATGCACGTATTGAAAGATTCGATGTGATGACTATTGTAGTACTTTTTAAAAATTTAGGGTGGGAACTAAACACGCGGTTACGCAACGAAAGTACTCATCATAACCGAGGACAAATCTGGATCTTACAACAACACAAACTACTAATCTATTACTGAGTAGATTATTATTAATACGTATCTCAGAAGTTTGGATCCCAAAGATCTCAATTCTGAAACTAGGGGTGGGCGGGTGGCAACTAAGGCCCCGTTTAGATTTAAAAAAAATTTGCGCAATATCTATTACATCAAATCTTGTAGCACATACATAGAGTACTAAATGTAGACGAAAAAAAAACTAATTGTACAGTTAGGTGAGAAATCGCGAGACGAAACTTTCAAACCTAATTAGTCCATAATTAAACACTAATTATCAAATATAAATAAACGAGCTACGGTACCAAAACCAAAAAAAAATTTAGCATGTAAACGCGGCCTAATCTAGGAGGAACAGAATACCAGGACCAGGGCCTGCGCTGCCAGCTCACCCGCTGCATCAGCAGGACCAGAATAGCAACAGACTCGCTGTAAATTTGCTCGTGATGACTGAACACCAGCATGCGAATGAATTTTTACTCGTGTTGGAGTTTTCAGTTGAAGTGCCAATTCCAATTTGTTCTCGTGGTGGGCTCCTCACCAACCTCCCGTACTCCCGTCCAAGCAGGCATCCAGCTCGTCCTGCACCTTCTTTTATGAACGTGCGGATCCGGAGAGCAGGCTGCTCTGTGCTCTCTCCCTCCCCCACCCCTCCCCTTCTCTCTACACCATAAATCATTTCTCCACAGTCTGCTGGATTACTGTGGATTTGACAAACGGACGGCGGCCCACATCGCTGCTTGTCCCTCGGGTGGCCACTGTAGCATCGATAAGCTTGTTCTTGCCGGGGTTTTGGGGGTTGAAAGATTGGGTTTTTCTTGCTCCTGGGAATCTGTCCAGGTTCGTCTCTCCGTGTGAAGTTTCTGAGGTTGGCTGGAGTCAAGATTTTCGGCTCGGCGGTCGCGAATCCTCGGTTTCTGACTCCGATTTGTGTACTCTCGTTCTTGACTCCTGGCTCTTGGGCCGGAGCTTCCGTTCTGTTCTTGCTGAAATCGAAGGAAAGAGCTCCGTTTTGGTTGCAAGTTCTCTGTCAAGATTTCAGGCGGCATTCAGATTTCGGTTATTTGTGGTTGTGCTGTTGGTTTTGCTTCGAAGATTTGCTGTTTGCGTAGACCAAGGTGAACCGTTGGTCTCTGCCGCCGCAGATGTGCGGATTTGAGGTGGAATTGCAGTGAGAGGGTTCAAGAGTTGTTCCTGGCCCTGATTCTGGTGGTTTAGTTTCTAGTGCTCTATTTGGCAAGTTGAGGGGTTCCATTTTCGGCGCATGCAAGGGGAAGTCACTTTCCGCCATTGGGGAACTCTCAGCCGTGATGTTTTGAGGTGGGATTGGGATTGGGACCTGAAGGTTGAAGGAGATGCTTATGGCGTCGATGTCAGACAGTGAGACGACAAACCGAGGCAGCATGTGGGAACTGGATCAGAACCTTGATCAGCCCATGGACGAGGAAGCCAGTCAACTGAAGAACATGTACAGAGAAAAGGTATCGTTTTGATCCTTGCATCCCAGAGTAGCTATCATCGTTTCTAGCTTATTAGTCTCTCTGTACATCTGAAAGAAACATGGTGGTCCTTCGATGTGAAATTTTGAACATTACAGTATTCTATTGATGGTTTAGGGGACCATTTCAATATAAAAGGGTATCAGAAACTGTTTGTAATATGTGCTGTTACTGCTATTTTTCCTATTGCAGGAACTATACTCAGATTCTTGCAACTTGCTCTGTCCATTTATCTTAAAGTGCCTCTATAGCTGTGCTCTGTGCCTCTTGTACTGCTAGACCTTTGACTGTGTTCTTACTTCTTAGTAAAGAAAAGACTAACTTCATCTTTAATTTTGTTCATGCAGAAATTTTCATCAATTTTGTTACTACGGCTCGCGTTTCAAAGCCTTGGGGTAGTATTTGGTGACTTAGGTACATCACCATTGTATGTTTTCTACAATATCTTTCCACATGGTGTTGACGAAGATGAGGATGTGATTGGAGCTCTGTCCTTGATCATTTACACACTCACTCTCATCCCTCTGATGAAGTATGTTTTTGTCGTCTTATGAGCTAATGATAATGGTCAAGGTGAGATATGGCGTCCTTGTATTTTACCCTAGTCTGTCGCCTCATATGATTTCTTTGGTATTTGCAAGAATTATGAGTGCTCTTGTCGCATTTACACATTTGCAAAGTATGAGCTGATAGCTCGCAGAGATTTTGCAATTTTACCATCTGGTTTGGTTGGCAGAATCTCATGACAAAACATCGCTCTAGTGATTCAAAGGATTTGTGTCGAGTATCAACACGGTTTAAATATGAGATGTCAGAGTGATTGCTATACATCACTTTACTAATCATGAAATCTGTAGAAGGTGAAACTCTAAGTTCATTTTAGATTTTACTTTGTGCTCGGACAAGAAATACTTCTCCTTCGGTTGGTATAGTTTGTTTTCACAAGTTTTCTGACAAACATTTCTTTTTCTGGTTATTCACAGGTGGCACATTTGCTCTTTATTCTCTGCTGTGCCGGCATGCAAAGGTCAGCACTATACCCAACCAACATAAGACAGATGAAGAATTAACAACTTATAGTCGGCAAACTTATGAGGAGAATTCACTTGCAGCAAAAGTGAAGAAATGGCTAGAGGGGCATGCATATAAAAAGAACTGTCTTCTTATTCTCGTTCTCATTGGTACCTGTACCGCCATTGGAGATGGGATCCTTACTCCTGCAATATCAGGTATTCAGAATCATAGTTTATGAGTAAATCCAATGTAACTGCGATCTAAGCTGTATTTCTATGTGTTATGCAGTTCTTTCAGCAGCAGGTGGAATAAGGGTTCAGAATCAGAATATGAGTACAGGTATTTTCCTTTTCTTTTCTGTATGGTTATATCTTTGTTCTTTGTATAACTCTGGTGGGCTGTTTCCTTGATCTGGTGAGGAGCATAACTTACTTTTACCTATGCTGATTGTTGTAATATCTTCCATTTCTGGCAGATGTGGTTGTAATCGTCGCGGTGTTCATATTAATTGGCTTATTCTGCATGCAACACTATGGGACAGATAAAGTTGGGTGGCTCTTTGCACCATTGGTGCTCCTTTGGTTTATTCTAATTGGGAGCGTTGGGTTAGTGAACATACACAAATACAACAGTTCTGTTCTAAGAGCATATAATCCAGTCTACACCTTCCGGTATTTCAAACGAGGCAAGTCTGAGATTTGGACATCTCTTGGAGGGGTCATGCTTAGCATCACAGGTCATTGGCAATTCAACTGTAACTTCTGCATCAATTGTAAGATGAAACAGAGTTAACTATATGCCTTTTCTATCCAGGGACTGAAGCATTGTATGCTGATCTATGTCACTTCCCTGTACTGGCTATTCAGGTGAGTGTTTAACCAAAAACATTATGAATTATGATAATAGCTCAATGAATTAATCATGTCTATGTCCAGATTATGCGTTCACCTTAGTGGTGTTCCTTGCCTTCTACTGACATGCACACTGGGCAGGCTGCCTACATTATTGACCACAAGGATCATGTAGTTGATGCCTTCTACCGCTCCATTCCAGGTCCTTCTGAAATCTAAACAAATCTGATCCATCTTGTATGTAAACAGCTATACCACCATATCAAGCCCACTATGCGCAAATTGGCATAGTGCTGATCCCACAACTGCTACTGTATGTTAATGCTTTGTGCACTTCTCTATACTAAAGTTGAGATACTCTCACTGCAGAGGCCATATACTGGCCAGCCTTCGTCATAGCAACTCTTGCGGCAGTAGTTGCAAGTCAAGCAACCATATCTGCTACCTACTCAATAATTAAGCAAGCTCTTGCACTGGGCTGTTTCCCCCGTGTCAATGTTGTGCATACCTCGAAGAAATTTCTGGGGCAGATTTACATCCCTGACATCAATTGGGTACTTATGATTCTTTGCATTGCTGTAACTGCTGGATTCAAGAATCAAAGCCAGATAGGAAATGCATATGGTCAGTTTTACTTCTTTTTTATTATTTCCTTGCATATTTGAATATGCAACTGAAAAGGGTGAAGTTGGTTTGTGTCTATCATGCTTTCAGTACACTTGACATGGAACACATATCAGTTTACACGTTAGTGGGACCTTGTAGGTTTTTTTTTTGTTAAGCAAACACTGTAGTTTCTTTTCGAGTCATAGTACAAACATAGATGCTCACAAACACACACGTATGTACATACTACCTCTATGAACAGTCATCACAGACGTCTCATTGTGGATGGCTACCATTAAAAGAATAGAGCCGTTGAATCCACTATGTCAATTTTAAAACATTTTTTTATGAACCTTCTGGAAGCACTTTGCATTCAATACACGGTATGAATATGATACTTATTTGAATGTAATGTTGTCTGAGCAGGCACTGCAGTGGTGATTGTTATGCTAGTTACAACATTTCTCATGGTCCCAGTGATGCTGCTGGTATGGAAGAGCCACTGGATACTTGTTGTCATCTTCCTTGTACTCTCCTTGACGGTTGAGCTCCCATACTTCACGGCCTGCATAAATAAAGTGGATCAAGGTGGCTGGGTTCCACTAGTCATCATAATAACCTTCTTCGTCATCATGTATGTGTGGCATTTCTGCACCGTGAAGCGTTATGAATTTGAGATGCACAGCAAGGTCTCTATGGCTTGGATTCTGGGACTAGGGCCAAGCCTTGGCCTTATCAGGGTCCCTGGATAGGCTTTGTGTACACAGAGCTGGCAAGTGGCGTCCCTCACATCTTCTCCCATTTCATCACCAACCTCCCTGCCATCCACTCGGTTGTTGTCTTCGCTTTGCGGAAGTACCTCCCGGTATATACAGTGCCGGCCGAGGAACGGTTCATCATGAAGAGGATTGGGCCAAAGAACTACCACATGTTCCGCTGCGTCGCAAGGTATGGATACAAGGACATCCACAAGAAAGACGACAACTTTGAGAAGATGCTCCTCGACAGGCTCCTGATCTTCGTCAGACTGGAGAGCATGATGGACTTGCCATCCGACTCCGAGGACTTCACCATGATGGAGCAGAAGGCCGAGAGATCCACCAGATCACTTCAGCTGACCGATAAGGCTGGGGGCAACACGATGAGCTCCATCGGTGACCTGAGCTACTCATCACAGGACTCTATTATTCCAGCCAAGTCACCCCTGACCGGGAACAGCCTGACAAGGTACTCAAGCCAGACATTCGGCGACGAGCTGGAGTTCCTGAACCGGTGCAAGGACGCCAAGGCGTCGTGCACATCCTCGAACACCGTCGTGCTGGCGCGCAGGGACTCGGGCATCGTGAAGAAGGTCGCCGTGAATTATGTGTATGCCTTCCTTAGGAAGCTGTGCAGAGAGAACAGTGTGATCTTCAATGTCCCACATGAAAGCCTCCTGAATGTAGGGCAGATATACTATATATGAACAATTTCTTTTATTCTATTGTTCGGTTTTGAAGTGAGAGCAGTTCTGACCTGCTACTGCGCTGTGCTGGGCGGATGAACATTGTAGATGATGATAAGTCCTAGAGTAAAGCTTTTAGTCAGTTTTGTGAGTTTCTAGAGCACATAGATTACTTACTGGTGTTGCCGTTGGTACATTCTGGATGAGGCTTGCTGATTGCTGTATCCAAATGCCATTTCTCTTTAGTAAGACAAATTGGTTTTCCCTGACCAAATGTCAACCATTGCAGCTGCATACATCATGCAACTGTCCGGCTTAGAAAAATAGTCATGTCAGATCAGCTTATCGGGAGTATGTTGATACTTGCTCCGTTCATCAAACAATGCAATTCTCGCTTTTCGATAAGTAGCAATTTGAACTTTGACTGAATTTGTATAAAAAAAAAATACTAACATTCATGATATAAAATAAATATCATTAGATTAGCTATAGAATATATTTTTATAATATATTTGTTTGAGACATAAATATTAATATTATTCACTATAAATTTGATTAAATTTAGAGTAGTTTGATTGTCACGATTCCCATAATTACATTTTTCTGTGGAGGGAGGGAGTATATAGTATCACAAAACGAAGAAAAAGCACATATATAGGCAGTTACTGGTTTCAGACACTCATGTAGAAACCTGATAAATTAAGCCTCGAATAAAAAAAAGATTTAGCTGAGTTGACATCTCTAAAATCCCTCACAGAATGCAGGAAAATAAGCATATTCTTACAAAACGTTTCATCCGAACTAGGAGTACCTCAACTCCTCAGAGGCCTAGCTTACTATTGTACTGTCACCACCATTCATTCCTGCTGGTCGCGCCCACCGTGAGAATTCTGCTGGTGGTGGTGCTCCGGCGGCGGCGGCGCCCACATGTACGTTACAGGCTGCATGTTGACATACGTTGCAAAAGGGACGGACGACGTCACCGGAGCCAGGCCGTAGGCTGGCAGTGGCGGCACAATGACTGGCACGGCCGTCGTCGTCGCTGGCGGCACGCCGTCCCCCCTGGACTACAAGCGTTCCTCCTCCGGCACGATGTCGGTGAGGACATCGTAGGTCTCGGTGCTGTGGATCGCGGCGGTGACATCGCCCCGCTGCAGCGTCCGGCGCCTGGCGCCATCGGCGTGGAGCCACGCCCGCAGCGTGAGCTCGAGGATGAACATCTCGCAGGCCCTGGCGAACACCGCGGGAGCCTCGGCCGCGACCATCTTGACGTCCGCGTCGGCCTTCATGATCTTCTTGATCCGCGCCAGCGGGAGGCTGTGGTAGGCCTTGAGCTTGACCTCGCCCGCCTCCGCCTGCTGCTCGGCCTCGGCGTGCTGGCCCGCCCAGAACGCCTGCAGCTGCTCCTCCTGGCGGTGCTGCTGCTGCTGGAACGCGATCTCGTGTGGATTTGAGAACGGCGGCGGCGGAATGGTGGCTGGGTAGGCTGCAGCGCCGCTGGCCTGCAGGGAGGCTGGGAGCGGAACAAAGGCGACGCTGCCGGCTGGCGATGGAGGAGGCACTGAAGCCAGTGGTACTGGTTGCTGGTCGTCGTATGTTGTTAGAGCATATGAAGCTGCGCTGTCATCAGTGTCACCACCATTCGTGGCACCTTCGTTTGCCTTGGCCTGTGAGGTTTGATCCATGTCGTCAAAATGCACCTCGCACACACTGATCAGTGCGCAGCTGCTACTGTCGGACCTGTCATTTGGAGAAGATTATACACGGTCAGTTCAGTGTAACCTCCAAATCAGAGCTGTTATGAACAGATGATGCTAGCATTATTTTATTTCATAGAATCGTATAGGTTGGTATACATTGACACAAAATTGTCCCCGGTAAGAGAACTTCAGAACACGGTTAAGAAAGCAACAAAAATTATATGAAGAGGTAACAACAGAGCCAATGCAAGTTATAATGTATTGCATGAACATAAAAATACATATGCTCATTCTTTTACATTGTTATAATAAGGTGATGATGGTTAGTGGCGGAGCGTGCCAGAAAATCATGTGGGGCCAATCTGAGTTGCTACTCAAGACCATGCATATTCACTTTACCATCTGCTGTGTTGCGAGCGCTACTTGACCACATGCTTCTTTTAGTTGGGCCACCGCACAGCCCACTTAGTCATACCCCCTTCAACACCGTTGTTATTCCATGTCCTGTTTACTTTCTCCAACAGTGGCCATAAGGCGATGTGTTGACGATGGGCATGAGGAGACCTAGGACACCGAGCCTGCCGAGGCGGAGGAGACCTAGGACACGGCAAGACCTCACCTCGCCGCACCTTGGACACCGCACGTGTCTGCTTTCTTATGGTTGGAGGGATCCAATCCAAGGCTCGGCTGGCAGATGGGCCCGGGCGCAGTTGTGGTAACAAATTCCATAGTCCATACCGAATTACTGTAGTAGTATGATCCAAACGGATCGAAGCACGTATCGACTTCCAATTTTGAATTAGACCGGGAGGGGAATGAAACCAAAGAATTCCTCTTTTTATTAGGCCTTGTTTAATTAATCTGAAAAACCAGGAAGGAGATTTCTGTTTGAGGATTAACCAAACAAACCCGTAGTATGTCCTTGCAAGTGTTTGGGACCAAGGCCCAGTTCGCTTTGCTGAAAAACCATGGCTGAAAGTACTGTTTACTGATTTGTTGTAAGAGAAAAACACTGATCGTTCGCTGAAATAGTACGGCTCATAAGACAGGCGAACATGACCTTAACTCCATTTCAAAACACTCCTGGTCCAACGAAATCCATGAATTCAAAGGGCTAGATTATTCATTGATTGATTTGGTGGGCCAGTTTACAAATCCACGTTTAAAGCATTCCTCATCAAGTTGTCAAATTACCGGTTTGTTGCTAGTCATTACCCACCACATTATCGTCATGAAATTTAGGGGTGTTAAAAAATGTAGAGTTAGTGCTTGCTCATATATTAGTCTCGTTGTTTTGGAATCAGCTTGAACTATAAACGAGCCAAACTTAAAACCCAACTAAGGCCATGTTTAAATCCAGGGTACAGAGTTTTAGGGTGTCACGTGAAGGTGTCGCATGGGGTGTTCGGATACTAATAAAAAACAAACTACAAAATCTGTCAGTAATCCGCGAGACGAATTTATTAAGCCTAATTAATTCGTCATTAGCACATGTGTTACTGTAGCACTACATTGTCAAATCATAGACTAATTAGGCTTAAAAGATTCGTCTCGCAAATTAGTCACAAACTGTGTAATTGGTTATTTTTTTAATCGATATTTAATACTCTACGTATGTATCAAACATTCAATAAAATAAAAAGTAAACTTTAAGGGAGGAACCTAAAGCTAATATCCTTTCTGTCTGTGTGTGTGCATGTGCGGTGTACCCTTCTAGAGAACACATGATGCACCAAACTCGGTTAGGGACACACTCGAGGCAAACTCGATTTGAGATGTTACGAAGTAAATCATTATCGTCTCATTGGAATGCGTGCTTTTTAAAAAAATCCTATATTTTCTTAATAAAATTGAATAAATCCCAGTAAAATTTACTATGCACGATTTCTATCGAATTTCTGCGTTCAGTACCTTGCCAAAAAAAAACCCTGCGTTGAGCAAAGGCCAAAACGTCACTTCTTGGCTCGTTGACAGCCCCAGTGGCTGCAGCCTAGCAGGGCCACTCGACCAGTACATTTCTTTTGGGCCCTGTGGAGCCCAGCCATATTTGGCCCATCTGAAAGATGAGTTCCTCGCTTTATTATCCCTCAAAAATCTCCATCCCCATTAGAAAAAGCGACAGAAAGGGTTTCTAATAATAAAAAAAAGAAAAAGCGATGGAAAAAGGTGCCAATAAACTACGAGGATGCCGATTTATCTCGTCTCCTCTCCCGCCGCCGCCAAGCTCGCCGCAGGAGGCCCACACGCACCCCGGCAGCGGCGGCGCCAGCTCCTCTTCCGTGCTCCCCACCGCCCCGTACTCTCTCTCTCTCCCTCTGCTGTTTTTGAGCTTCCTTCTTTCTACTTACTGATTCGTGAGCGGGCCGAGCTTTGGTTTCTCACAGAGCCGCCGCGCCCCCCTGCTGTCTTCGGCCGCCGAGTACCCGGCAGGGCGCGCCATGGCTGCTGCGGAGGCCGGAGCGTCCACGGTGACCGATTCGAGGCTCAGAGGTGGGTGCTTATGCCTCCTGGTTTAGTGGTTTGGCACTGCTGCCTTGGTGGATAGCTGGATTGGTGCACAAGCAGAAAGATTCGGTTCTCTCTTCATTAGTTTAGAGGGAATGTGGCGATCATTAGGAATATGCTTTTCCTGACTTCCAACCAAATGTCTTTGCAGTTTGTACGATACTGGTTTAGGTCGCTGTTGCACTTGCTGCAGTTTATTTCCCTCTGAAAGATCGAGTGGCGAATGGTGGCTGTGTCGGGATCTAGAGGCTAAAGTTTAGCAGTGTCAAATCAGACGTTCGAATGCTAATTAGGAGTACTAAACATGAGTTAATTATAAAACTAATTGCACAGGAGTAGACTAATTAGTGAGACGAATCTATTAAGCCTAATTAATTCATAGCACCACATTGTCAAATAATGGACTAATTAGACTTAATAGATTCGTCTCGCAAATTAGCCTCAATCTGTGTAATTAGTTTTGTAATTAGCCTATGTTTAATACTCCTAATTGGTATTCAAAGATTCGACGTGACAGGGCTAAACTTTTGCCCAAAGGAAACAAACACAGTGTTAGTTTGATTAGGCCTAACTGTTATATGTTTGGGTCTTTGGGATCACTCCAACCCTTCCCAGTCCTTAATGTGCAAGCGTTTGGAAATGATTCAGTACTATGGTTCTAGCAGTTACAAGTTCAGCTTGTTGGGAAGTTGTACCTGCTATTTTAAAAATTTAGCTGGTAATCTAGGTGGTAACCAAACAAGACAGATTATAGATGTAGGTTATATAATCTCATAAGCTGCCTGGGGTAGATTATCAGATTATATAATCTACCAACCTAGGGGTTGCCAAACAGGGCCTTAGTCATGGCACAATCTATGTGTGATTTTCTTCCTTAATTAAGAGCATCCGGCAGTCAGAGTTCTGTTCTGTTTGTATAGAACCTATGTGCTGAAGACCATCAGAATGTCAAATGTCATATAGAGTTTTGCTGCTCCAAGGTCTCATGTTTATGCAGCGCCATTACTCATTCAGGATTAAATGGCCCCTTGGTGGTGCAGTCTAAAGTTCAAACACATATATCCAAACTTGAATATTCATTACTCTATGTTGAACATGATAGTCAATCACTTTGTATTCATGATATCCTTTTGTTCTTGTTGTTTGAGTTCCATCCAGAATTTTTTGTCTTATTAAGGATTCTAGTGTTTGCACTTTGAAGAAATAGATTAAGATCCATTACATACTTAAAAAAGGGCGTACCCAGTGCAAAGAGCTCCCGCTCTGTGCGGGGTCTAGGGAAGGGTGTCAGTGGCAAGCCTTACCCTCGCCTGTGCAATGCGAGGAGACCACGACCATAGTTTTTACGGCGGCGTGGCGAGGCGCGGCGACCCACCACCTTCACACCTTTACAGCGTCTATGGCGCGCGGCGTGGCGACGCCATACACACATCGGCGTGGCGAATACATACATTATAGTCTAGGATATTAGGAAATTATATTGACAAATGGTAATGCAAATGTAGCTTAAAAGGTATAGTCTACAATATTAGCAAATCAAAATAGCAATGTAAATGTAGCACAAAAGACATATAACTCTCTCATCTCTCAAACCGGGCTCATTCTTTCATCATTCATCGGGCCCAAAAGCAACAGCAATTCGGCTCGGCCCACACCTCTGCACATGGCCTGGCCCGCACTGAGCACCAGCCGTGGGCGTATTGGGCGACAAAAGTGTTGCTGTCACATGCCAGGCCACTTTGGGCAGGCGTGGCGTTGCCCGCTACCGTCATTCGCCCGAACAAAAAGGCCGGCCGGCCACACAAATTAAACCCTAACTCCCATTCTACTCCTCCTTCTCTCTCTCAACGCGGAGCTCGAAAGCGAGCGAAGCGTGAGCGGCAGACGATTGGCGCTGTTGCCCCCTCGCCGTGGCATGCTCCCGCTTCCCAAGGAGAGCGCCATTGCCGAGCGGTTCGGTCTGCAGCATCCTTGCTGTGAGCCCGCCGCGGCGGCGTCTCGGGCTCGGTCTCGAGGGCTCAATCGGCCTATATGAGTACCTCACGGCCTCACCCTCACCGTCTATTGCGCTTCGCCATAGCGCATAAAGGCGCCGCAGACGCCAAATCGGCGCCACCAGGGACGCCACGGCGCTTTGGCGGGGACGCCATACACGCCGGAGCTGGTGGCGTCGCTGTGGCGAGCGTAAAACGCCACGGCGATATGGCGACGATATGGCGTTGGTATAGCGACGCCTTAACAACTATGACCACGACTCGAACCCGGGACCTTCTGGTCATAGGTGGTAAGACTCTACCGCTTGCACCAGGCCCGCCCTTCAGATCCATTACATACTTACGTTCCATAAAATTTTATGTACTCTCTCCCACTTACCTCATTCGTAAATCAACAGATAAATTTTGTATTATGGATTAGTAATCAATTCCAATGTTTTTAAGGCGTCGCTTTGACGTCGCCTAATCGGCAAGGCGCTACAGGCGGGACGACTTGGATGACGACTTCGCCTCGATTGGTATGGCGTCCGCCTTACTACCATGGCGTCCGGAAGTAAATCGATTTGGCGTCCGATTCGTCAAATCGAGCAAAAGGCGGGCGCCATACGGGATGGCCACGGTAGGAAAACGTAGCGCTGGAGAAAGGACGGGGAAAGTGCGCAGTAGCTTGGGAGATTAGGGGCGCGAGAGAGAGGCGTGAGGAGAAATCAGAGAGCAGAGAGGAGCTCGCAGAGGAAGACGGACCTACTGCCGCCTTGACAACGCTGTTCGCCCGTGCCGCCGATGAGAAGCTGCCTGCCGCCGAGGCTCCGCGTCCCCCTCCCCCCTTCCCCATCCGCTGCGAGGGAGCAGCCTGGCGGCGGGCTGCTTTCCCGTCGCCTCTTCTCGGTCCTCCATTGAGCATGACACGAGCCGCCGCCTCTCCCTTCCTCTTCCCCACCTGGCATGAGGAGCAATGCCGCCAATGGATCATTGCTTCCCCACCTTGTCGCCTTATGCACATGCTGATGCCCCCTCGATTCCGCCGTCTCCTCATTGATTCTGATGCGGGTCCTCTCTATTCTGCCGTCTCCTCGTCGATTCCGCTCAATTGGGCCGTCTCCTCGCCGTCGCCTGCTCGATTCCGCCTTCTCCTCGCCATCGGCTGCTCGATCTGGAAGGGATGATGGCGACTATAGATCTGGAAGGGGAGCAGTGAGGGAGGGGGAGTGAGCAGCCGCAGATCCGGAGAGAGGGAGGAGCCACAGACGGAAGCGGAGCCATAGAGGGAAGTGGGCGGCGAGAGAGGAGCGGAGGCGGGACGAGTGGTGGAGAACGAGGAGCAACGCCGGAGGGATTCCCATTGGGATAAGCCACGCCAGAGGGGAGGGCACATGGGCACTGGTGGGCTGGGCCAGCCCACTTCTTACTCCTCCTCTCTTTTCTTTTTTCCTTTTCTTTTTTCTTCATCATCTACTACTCTAAGCTGTTGTTTTAAGTTTTTCTTAAATCCGTAAGGCGTCGCCTCACCTCACGCCTTAGTCGCCTAAGCGTAAGAAGCGGTAGTCACTCGCCACGCCTCGCCTTACCGCTTTTAAAAACATTGATCAATTCTGAAAAAACTATGGACTAAATATAAGTTTCTACATCTACAGGAGTGAAGCAAGCACGATATCGTTGTCAGATAAAACAGACCTGGCTACTCTTGGAAATGGTCTTCAGCGTTTGGGGTAACCTTTTATCTTCTGGTCATTTAATGCGCCGTTACTTTGAATTGTATAATCCACAATCGGGTTGCATGTTTTTGAGCTCGTGTTAGATTTGTTGGCTGCAAGTATTTCTGTGTTTTATTTATTATGGTGTCATTATATAATCATTCATCATGATAAATTATTTAAGTAATCCCTAACTTATCTCAACCCTTTCACAAAGTATTTTTTCCTTATGATAGTTTCTCTCTCCACGTGCATGTTTTTCATTGGTTAACAGTTCATATATGGATATTGCATTTAGTAAAATATTTAGCAAAGTATGGGTTTATATTAGATTAAACATGGATTCAGATTTGTCTTTATTTTGATATTTTTTTATTATACTCGTATAAAGATTTTGCTCCTGTAGGTTTTCTATTATTTCCACCGGTGGCACGGCATCAAGTTTGGAAGCATCTGGAGTTAATGTTACAAAAGTTGAAGAAATTACACACTTTCCTGAAATGGTAAAGCCTAATTCATGCTAATTTTGCAGCATTTTTGAAAATATATATTTATTACAAACATTGTTATCAGTTATCACAGTCAGTTTAGTGATGCCTGAACAAAGTTTGTTGGAAATTTTGCAAAATGCATTACTTGTAATGGTTCTTAAAACATGTAATAGATGTAACTCTTTTACTCTTGCTATTTTTCAAAAGTATATCAAGAATCAAATGTAACAATTGTCCTGTATCATTCCAATCCTTCTCTTATGTGTCTCCTCAATTCTCAAAGTGGTTGTCTGAATAACTGGTCAGAATACTGCATAATTCCAACTTTGTAATTCCATGCTTACTAGATGTTCCTGGTCATTTGAATCTAACCTTTATCCCTTTCACTGATTGTTTAAAATGGAAAAAACGTGTTTTTGGGTCGACTATCATGCTGAGAGCTTTCAGTAACAGTATAAATTGCACATTTCCATATCCACTAACTCTTTGGGTCGTTTCAGCTTGATGGGAGAGTAAAAACATTGCACCCCAGCATACATGGTGGTATTCTTGCGCGAAGAGATCAGGAGCATCATCTGAAAGCACTGAAAGAACATGGCATTGGTGAGTTCTTAAGTTCATCATGCAATCATCTATTAAATATTGTAATAATGTTATGACATGTCAAGTTTCATGCGATGAGGTTACAATCATTGAAGGGTGTTATTGTAAGTTGACTAGGACCTTTTCTTTGTTCACAGGGACATTCGATGTGGTTGTAGTCAATTTGTACCCATTCTATGATAAGGTCACCTCAGGTGCAATATCTTTTGAGGATGGCATTGAAAATATTGATATTGGTGGGCCTACATTGATCCGAGCTGCTGCCAAGGTAGCTGTATTGGAATATTAGTGATTTGAAATACTTAATACTTACAAAGGAGTGCACTGGATTCATGCAAAGTTGATTTCATTTTACAATGTATCATACATGCTAATACATTACATGTTGATCTTCCACTCATTTATGCATGCAAAATTTATGTAGCAGTAATACATTTTGATAAAAATAGTTGCGGTTTTGCAGTTTGCTTACATTGTTATCTATTTCTTATGGCTGACAGAATCACAAGGACGTTCTTGTCGTTGTCGATCATAAAGATTATCCTGCTCTATTGGAATATCTAGAAGGGAAACAAGATGACCCTGATTTCCGCAGGACACTTGCATGGAAAGCTTTCCAACATGTTGCTTCTTACGATTCAGCTGTCTCAGAGTGGTTGTGGAAGCAATCAAATAAAGGTATTGGTAATTTTTTGGTAAATGTGATGCTTGTCTAATAGTTTTGTCAGCCAATTTTCACATATGCAGTATCATGATTTTGTGCAGCAGATACATTTCCTCCCAGCTTTACTGTGCCCCTCACAGTGAAGTCTACACTTCGTTATGGTGAAAATCCTCATCAAAAGGCTGCCTTTTATGGTGACAAGAGTCTTTCTCTAGTAAATGCCGGCGGTATTGCAACAGCAATTCAACACCATGGAAAGGTAAGACAAGCAGGTTTCCTTTAGTTATTACTACTACACTAAAATGGGACACAAAATCATTTAACACATTGATGAGTATCTATGTTTTGCTTCCATGGTCTTTTGTAACTTCATTATTCCTTTTATTGGGTACATATAAGCAGATAACTTGTTTCTAGATATTCTCAATCTTTGTGAGTACCATACCAGTACATTGATGTTTATTTTCAGGGGTTTGCAACTTTACGTACGTCACCTTCTTATACAGGAAATGTCTTATAACAATTATTTGGATGCGGATGCTGCATGGAACTGTGTCTCAGAGTTTGAGAGCCCGACTTGTGTTGTGGTTAAGCACACAAATCCGTGTGGCGTAGCGTCTCGACCGGACATCCTTGAAGCATACAGGTTGGCTGTGAAGGGAGACCCTGTCAGCGCATTTGGCGGCATAGTTGCCTTCAATACGACGATCGATGAGGTATTTTGTCAACCCAGCACCATGTTCCTACACAAAAGCTGCAGATCTTCTAACTGCGTCGCCCCACTATGCATAATGCATTATTGTTGACACATTGACTGACTGACATGTTTAGGATCTTGCGAGGGAAATCCGTGAGTTCAGGAGCCCCACGGACGGCGAGACAAGGATGTTCTACGAGATTATTGTCGCGCCTGGGTACACAGAGAAGGGCCTGGAGGTCCTGAAAGGGAAATCCAAGACACTGAGGATACTAGAGGCGAAGAGGAGCGGGAAAGGCATGCTGTCGTTACGACAGGTGACTGGCGGCTGGTTGGCTCAAGAGTCTGACGATCTGACCCCGGAAGACATCACCTTCACAAAGATGTCCGAGAGGACTCCCGAGGACAGTGAGCTTTCGGACGCGAAATTCGCGTGCCTCTGCGTCAAGCACGTTAAGAGCAACGCCATTGTGATCGCCAAGGTCAGTAGTGCACGGATGCATGCCTCTTGTCGGTTAGGTTATGTGGAGAGAGCGAAATCGCTAGCTGTACAGGTTTTTTGTTGATTCTGTGCCTGATGATGGCTGGTCGCTTCAGAACAATTGCATGCTGGGCATGGGCAGTGGCCAACCGAACCGGCGGGAGAGCCTGAGGATTGCTTTCAAGAAGGCAGGAAAGGAGGCCAAGGGAGCTGCTTTGGCCAGCGATGCCTTCTTCCCTTTCGGTAAGAGAAGGAAATCTAAAAGCGCTTGCTTTAAAATTGGAATTGAAGCATTTACCGAGTAGTTGATTTCAATCAATTTTTATACGTAGAAGCAAGCACATGGTTCTGGATGCAACAAAGAACACTAAAAACATGGTTTGTTATTACTAGTTAATTACTGTGCTGCTGAACCTGCGCATGATGCAGCTTGGAACGATGCGGTGGAGGAGGCGTGCCAGAGCGGCATCGGGGTGATCGCGGAGCCTGGCGGCAGCATCCGGGATCAGGATGCCGTGGACTGCTGCAACAAGTACGGGGTGGCCCTTGTCTTCACAGGCGTCCGGCACTTCAAACACTGATGGATGGTCACCCGAAGCCGACGACAGCGAGGGTGCAGCAGAGACTGTCACTGATGGAAGGGACCTAGCTACCTCGACCTGGGCTGATTGCTGCACGCTGGCTGGAAGGAAGAATCTGCTGTTTCCCAGGGCTGATGCCTGATGGCATTGCTTGGCTAGGGAGATTCTGATGTTAGTCTCTGTGGGTTTTAGTTGGAAACTTGATAATGAAGGTATACCCCGAAAAGAGAGAGATGATTCTGATGCAACCAAAGGTCTTCTCTTTTTGAGAGGATGAATCGGTGGGTTGTAGCACCCGGTTTTAAAAACAAAACTAATACACACTATATATGAGCTTAGGAAGTCAAATCTCACATATACCTACAAACATATAGCTACAAATAAGGGTAATATTAAAAAACAATGCTTAAATACATAGCGTATTAGTATAAAGATTATAACCTCAGAGTATAGACAGCGGAAAGACAACTCTGATATTTAGGTGAAGACTCTAAATCCACAGGGGCAACTGACTGGTTGACCACAAGTTTAATTCCTCCAAACTCTAGCAATCTGGTATCCATCCGGGATTTTTATCTAAATAATTGAAAAAAATAAAGCAAGCGTAAGTATATGTCGTACTCAACAAATATAATATGAGGTTTATGAGGCTCAAAAGACTGACATTGGTTTAACTGTGATTAGCTTTTAATGAGTCATGATTTTAGTAATTGAGTAGCAACAAGTTTATTTACAAGCCCATATAAACACATGATCAGGTAAACTTGAATAATGAATAGCATAAACAGTAATCATTAATGAGCATCTCTATCATTAGTATCATCAGTGTTCATCATCTATTCCGTAAATGTTTTAAGGCCGCTCGTAACCGTGAGCACGGCTGATATACCAGTTTTACAATCTGCAGAGGTTGTACACTTTCACTGTGAGTCGTGATTTACCCTTTCATCCGAGGCGGCCAACCTCATGACCCACTACCAAGGAAGGTCAGCAGGGTTCACTATGAAGCCTTTCAAAGGTTCGTCTAACAAGTTAGGGCCATTAGATTTACTCGGCAAACAGATATAGGACACTCCTGTCGAATGACACAATTCCATCACGACTATACACATAAGAGTAGATGCTATCCTATATCCGATTCGTCAAGCCATTCTTACACCAATAAAGGTAACCACTAACAAACTAGAAAAGGTCCTCATACCAAGCTAAAGCCAGAGCCATATAGCTCTCACAGTTGTACTGTAAGTCCCGGATGATCAGTTACAGATAAGTCTTTAAGGAGAGGAATCTAGAGCACCATAAAAACAACCCAATGCACTAGACCCCTTGTTCCATGTTACGAAAAAGCATCTTTTTAGTGTTTATTGCATATACCATTACCATTAGTCAAGTTACAAGATCATGGTTGTAGTTGAGCACTAGCATCATACTACCCAATGCAAAACCCCATAGGTATCAAGTCACAAGGTACAAAGTATTAGGAAATTCTTAGTTGTAACACCCTAAAATTTGTCTCTTTTGAAAATATGATTAAAATGATTTATTTTTGAATTTTTGTGCTCATAAAATATAGGAAAATAATTTTTTTATTTAATTAAAATTCATCATAAGGTTTAGCAACGTGTTTGTGCATACATGCCGGTGCATTTGTTTCTTTGAATGGCATGGATATGATTCAAATTGAAAAATATTCCAAAATGCTTTTTGAGTTGGCTTTGAAGTAAAAGAAAAGAAACTTAGGAAATAAAAGAATTTAAAAAGTTGTAAAATTTAATTTTGAAAGTCTATCAAAATTGTTCATTTTGAATTGAATTAAAAAGTGTATTTTAAATCATGTTTATACTTGATTCGGTTTATATTTGAATTTGTTTTGAATTAAGAAAAGAAAAGGATTTGGAAAAAGAAAAGAAGAAAATTCTCCCTTTCTCTTATTAGGCCCGAGTGGCCCGTTTCTCTTTTTCTTCCTGCGGCTCAGCATTCTCCTCCCACGGGTCGTCCTTCTCCTTCCGCCTATGGCCTTTCCCCCACGCCTCCCGTCCTGCGTGGCCCGCGTCCCACGCGGCTTTGCTTTCCCCCGCGCTGGCCCATCTCCCACGTCCCGCCGCTCCGCACGGCCCAGCAGTGCAGCCGGCCTAGGTCTGCGACGCGCCGCGCCCGCGTGTCCTTCTCCACCCCGCTGACGCGCCTGGCCCGCCCGTCAGGGCGTCTTCTTCCTCTCTGCGCCGACTCCATCTCGAGCACGACCGCGTCGACGCCGCCGTGTCCGGCTCCACTACGCCACGCGTGCCGTGCGCCCTAAGTTTCCCAGCCCCATATAAGCCGAGCCGCACCTTGCGCCACCTCCCTATCCCGCACCCACGCTGTAGCCGCATCGTCCGAGCGCCCACAGCCGCGCCGCCACCTAGCACCGCCGTCCGTCGTCGCCAGCCAAGCACAGCGCCCGCCTTGCTCCTTCTCCACCGTCGAGGTTTCCCTAGGTGAGTTCGCAATCTCCTTCTCCATCTCCCAGTGTTCCCCGTTTATTTTGCCGTGGTCGGTAGTTCGTTTCCTATGTTCGTCGCCAAGCTCCCTTTGTCGGCCATGGCGCGCCACCACGCGCGGCCACTGTTTCGGCCGACAGCCTCCTCCCTCTCCCTTCGCGATCGAATCCTGGCTGCCCACATCTGATCTGACGGCCGATATTCAACCATACCCCTTCGGTTGGCATACTTGCTAAAGAGACCCTCTCTTTTCTACTAATCTAACCCGCAGTCCACTCTCCAGATCTAATCTCATCTATCCAACTCTAATCCGACGGCTTACATCTCTTCATACCCCTTCGTCTTGTAGTTTTGCAAAAGAGCCCTTATAAGTATTTAAGTCTTAACCCGTAGTCCAAAGCGTAATCATAGGTTACGTTTTCTTCTTCGGAAAGCGTAGTTTCGTCGGTTTAGATCCAAAATACGTTTTCAGTTAATTACAGTTTTGCCACTATTTTCTTTAGGCCATAACTTCTCCGTTTTAACTCCGATTTAACCCGTTCAAATTGCGTTAGGTTCATAATTTCATAACCTACGTGCTCATACTACTGTTAAGTATGTTTTCATTTTTTGAAATTCATGATTAGATTTAATCTATTATTTTATTAAAAGAAATCTTGTTTAATTCATATCTTCTACGTTTTAACTCCGTTTTAGCTCATTCAAGTTGCGTTAGAGTCATAGCGACGAGATCTATGCGTTAGTAACAGTGGTTACCATGTCACTATTTCTAGAATTTCATGGTTTAAACTCTAAATTGAATAATGATTATGCAATTGGGTTTTATAAATAAAATATGGTTTGTTTTACTTTAGTATTATAATTCAAACTTAAACTTGACTTAATTTATATTATCTATGAAATATATTATATATGTTTTTGTATAATTAAAACACATGAAGCTAATAGTTTTATGAGTAGATCTTTCGGTAGTTGTATCTTTCCAACCGTAGCTCTGATTAGCGTGCTTTTCGCGTCTGTGTGTTCGTAGCAAGACGTAGATTCATTTTACAAACTTTTCATCTTGATTTTATGTTTGGTGTACTATTCTAATTTAGAGCTATTGTTTGCTTCGTGTATGATTGTATGGATGCTTATGTGGTGCTTTATGATTTCGTCCAGTCGGTGAGATATACGTGGTGATCAAAAAGAAGAAGAAGAAGAACGTTGAAGATTAAAGCTTATCGAAGGATTGGTGTTTAAGGCAAGTATAGCATGTGATCATTCTTGTTGTCCTATACACCTTTAATCATTTAATTCATACTGCATGTGTCTACCTTGACTGTCACTAAGTATTTCCTAGTACTTTGACCTTGTGCCTTGATACCTATGGGGTATTGCATTGGGTAGTATGATGCTAGTGCTGAACTACAACCATGATCTTGTAACTTGACTAATGATATATGCAATAAACATTAAAAGATGCTTTTTAGCAACATGGAACAATGGGGCTAGAGCATTGGGTTATTTTTATGGTGCTATAGATTTCTCTCCCTAGGGACTTATCTGTAAGTGATCATCCGGGACTTACAGTACAACCATGAGGACTACATGGCTCTGGTCTTAGTCTAGTACCTTGCTCTTTCTAGTTTGTAGCAGTTTACCGAAAGTGCAAGAGGGGCATACCAGGCTGGGTATGGGCTTCATCCCCATGGTGTGTACTATGCTGCGTATATAAGTGTCACTTCTGGAGATGACTCCATAACACTTGGGAGATGGAATCCTTAGCGGCTGCTCCTTATTAGAATGACTGGGTAAAGGCTTTGTAGTGAACCCTGCCGACCTTCCTTGGTAGTGGGTCAAGAGGTTGGCCGCCTTGGGCGAAAGGGTAAATCATGACTCATGGTGAAAGTGTACATCCTCTGCAGAGTGTAAAACTAGTATATCAGCCATGCTCACGGTCAGGAGCGGCCTTAGAACCCTTACGGAATAGATGATCACTAATGGTTAACGATGATGAACACGGATGATACCGATGATGAATATGCTCATTAATGATTACTGTTTATGCTATTCATTATTCATTTTTACCTGATCATGTGTTTACATGGCTTGTGGATAAACTTGTTGCTACTCAGTTGCTAAAATCATGACTCATTAAAAGCTAATCGCAGTTGAACTAGTGTCAGCCTTTTGAGCCTCATGAACCCCATGTTATATTTGTTGAGTACGACATGTACTTACGCTTGCTTTACTTTTCAAATATTTGGATGAAAATCCCGGATGGGTACCAGATTGCTAGAGTTTGGAGGAATTAGGCTTGTGATCAACCAGTCAATTGTTTCTGTGGATTAGAGTCTTCACCCGAAGATCGGAGTGCCTTTCCACTGTTTGCTGTCTAAGGTTATATTCTTTATACTAATACATTATGTATTTAAGCATTGTCTATTGATATTACCCTTATTTGTAGCTATATGTGCGATTTAACTTTCTAGGCTCACATATGGTGTGTATCTGGTTTTGTCCTTAAAACCAGGTGCT